GACACCATATATACCGTGTATTCGTCTACTTTAATTAAATACACTTTAGGATTAACGTTATCTTCAAGATATTCGCACGGATTAATACCGTAAAAAGTCGTAGAAACCTACGGCAACCTACGGCAACAATTTCTAATTATAAGAAACTATATCTATTGAACTATGTACAGGTGTTTTAAAAATGTTTCGCAGTCTAGCAATGAATTGACCGAAATTGGAAGTAAAAAGATCTTCCTCATAAAAGTTAGGAATATTAAAGATAGGAATATTAGAGATTAATACAAATTCACTATTATAACTTTTTTTTTCGGAATCAGAGAACGGTTTTAATATCGAAGTTCTTCCTATCTGCATCTATCCATTTCGTGATCATCATAAGAGACAATCTAAAATTAAAAAAATAAACCTTTTATTTATTTTTCCATTAAAAGAAATGTAGTATTATAATATTATTATTGCTTAATATAATTAATCATAATATTATATTAATCAAATTTAAATTTAATTAATTATAATATTATATTAATAAGGATAACGTAATAAGCGTTAACCTTGATAATAACGTTGATTACGTTTTATGACGTAATATTAATATTATAATACTTAAAACAATAAATATTTTATTTATTATTTTAAACTAAATTTTATATTTATATTTTTCTTATAAAATTTAAGATTGCTTTAAATCTTTTAAAAAGGACGAAATAAGAAATAATTATAACAATCAGTGTCCCTGATGCCGAAATTTAAATATTCATTGTCATAGAAATAAAATTTATCACAACTTTAATTTATCTATTATTCATATGATGACAAAGTTTTAAAAGTATACGTGTAGTTTCGAAACAATGTAAAATAGTTACAAGTGAAAACTGTTGCAATGATGTTTTTACGCTATAAATAATTCGCAATCGTTGAAATTCGTGTTAGTTACCGTACATAATCCGCGTTAAATCATAACATTTGTTTAAAGAACAAGATTGATTTAAATCTTAAATATCTCTTTCGGAGTCTCTTTTACAGTCCGAATGCGCTCTAACAGCTGTGATTCTACGATCTATCTGCTCTGCAGACTAGGCCAATGTAAAACATAACAAGGAGATTTTAGCTATAGAGAAGCGATCATCTTCTCGATGTATATTCAATATTTTTTTTTATATATCTTAATTATCATAATATAGGCGATCTATTAAAATAATAAAGTGAAGAACAATGCACAAGCTGTCATAAAAGTATAGCTGTAACAACTATATAATAAAAATAGTATTATCAATCATCGATTTCCATCATTCATAATAGAAGAATGTGAAAGATGATTGTATTACACTAAACGTAGGAGGATTAAAAGCACCGATCTGATTGAAAATAAATATGTCACAATAGAAAAAAATAAATATTACAACTTCGTTATTACTTAAAACTCTCTAAATGCTGACTACAAAAATAATTTCTCTCTATTTTCATTCGATATGAACCAATTCTTCACGCGATAATTCGTATCTTTCGCTAATTAATCGCGAAAAACATGATAAATATAGACTTTTAAAAACACATCTATTCTTCGAGCGTTATTAGAAACTAAAGGCATAATAAAGTAAAACAAAAATTATCGCTCCTCGCTGCAACGAAAATATATCGCATTTCACATCACATTTCGCACAGAAAGCTAATTTACCACAAAAAGCTGAAAAAAAGAAGAAAGTATTCGCAATTTGGCTATATTGCATTCTACTCCTTTCTTTTTCCTTCTGTAATCCGCAGAGCATCAACGAGGCTCAAATTACTCATATAATTTAGAAGAAAACACGATGGAAATATGATAGTCGAGAAATGGTTTCAAGTAAGGCAGTTTACTATTTTTGAATTGGAAAATCAAGTTCCTGAAAGTCTAGAAGTCTAGAATTCATCGAGCGATAATAAAGCTCAGCTGGCGAAGGCTATATGCCGATAAACTTTTCCGGACAAGATATGATCTCATCTGACGTATCATGAGAAATCCGGAGACCTTCATAGTTTCCCGGGGACACAACTAGAAGACAGTCACGGCCTTGTTGCGATCAGTAAGCGAAGAGCGAGCTCGTTAGGTCAACAGTTGCGATTACCAGTGCCATTATTCACCTGTGTCCCGGTAACGCCAGCTTCCGCTTCGTAATCCGTACCTCGATGTTTCTCCATGGAGCGTTTTTCTCTATCCTTTTTAAACAGATCGGCTATGCAAAATGCCTACGAGACATCCAAAAATCCAAAAATCACGATTGCTTTATTTTATCAGTTTTTTAAATAAATTTGTAAATTGATTGTAATTTGAACTGATTACATTAATCGATTATACTTGTATATTACAAAAAAAGTATTTAGTTTGACAAAAAAAAAAAAATATTTCAATTTTCAACACGAGAAATGTCATTTTTTGATCAAACATTTATTATTAAACATTTTCATATTTTAATATTTAAATTTAAATTTATCGTGTTAATATAATTTTATCTTAAAACATTCACATAATGATCACGGTATAAAATATCTTAATTTTGAGAAAAAATTATTTATAAGAAATAATTTATAAGAAAATATTATAAAATTATAGGTTTCAGAATTATTTCTTACATCTTCTCATACAGATATAGCATTTTATGAAAATTGAGTAATACTAAGTATAACCACTTACCACTATTAAAGCACTGATTGTTCCAAGAGTAGATCCAGCGAGCACGTCACTCCAATGATGTTTATAATTGGAAATTCGTGTCATTGCGGTAAACCAGGCCATAAGCACGCACAGAAATTGAAGGAAGTGTTTAAGCAATTTGCTGCCCTTCCATTTCATTCTTAGCTGAAGATACATCTAAATAATTCCAAATTTAATCATGCTGAGACAATATCACAATTTTATAAAAAGCTTGATCGAATAAAGATAATAGGTAATTTTTAAATAAACAGGTAATCAACTTAAATTTTCTTTTTATCCTTTTATTGATGAAAATGATAAAAATAAAATGTAATAACACGGATTGAAAATCAAATAAAAAGTTTCAAAATACGAAAAAAGAATTCAAGAAATTTAATAAATTTTATAATTAAATTTACATTTTTAATTTGCTCAATCAAGAATTTCATATATGAAAAATTAAAATTCAATATTTAATTTCCACATATTAATTAAAATTAATAACATTTCTTTATTGATATAAAAATTGATGATTAAAGGATTCAAAGAGTTTAATTCGATACTCGGGGTATATAATTAAATTACTTTTGTAATTACCGATACGATTATCGCATTGACTCTGCTTTGTCAGTGAATCGTAATCGAATTCAACGTAATTGATGCTTCGTGTAATTATTAAATTATGTAAATTAGTTCTTTGTGGTCGACAATTTCAGAGATCGCTCGACACGTTCGTATTAGGTTCGTCGAATATGATTACGATTCGGCTCGCACAAATTGTAAATCAATCCAACACTTGCATAACGTGAGGACTACTTACCGCAAGGTAGATCATGGTGTAGGCCGAGAAGGACGAATGACCAGAGGGGAACGATAATCTGAAACGATTGATCGTGCCGCGTCAAATAAATCCTGTTTATCGATCGGACGCAAGGAAGGATGCGAAAAAAAAAAATTATATTCCCTCTTCTTCGCTTTCTTCTCGCGGTCATCGCACATTTACACACGTGTAAATGTCCTTCTTCGCTCTCTCCCCCTATTAATTTTATCGCGATTAATTTCGGGGCGTGTAGCGTGCCGATTACGATCGACGGGACAACGACGAAGAGTAGCGTACAGCCGCGAGCGACGAAGAATATGAAGAAGAGGAGGATGCCAAGATGCGGATTCCGACGAGCAAAAAAAAAACGCAGAAAGGACGTAAAGAAGACTCGATACTTATGTCTCCCCTCCACTTCCCTCTATTTCTCCCGAGGGACACGCTCGTAAAAAAAATTCGGAGAGCGTATTATTACGTTAATTAGGACCTGCAGTTCGCCAGCGAGTGTCGGTTTTCCGTTTAATCGTTTAATATTACAAATTATTATAGTGTATCAACTCGGATTTGTGCGAAATTTTTAGATTTACGATATGCATATATTTCCGTATTCTTTTTCAATAGTTGCGAACTTCTTTCTCTAAGTAATTTCCAAGAAAACTTTAAAACAATTTATTTTCTAAAACAAAATTCAATTTAAAATATAAAAATTATTTTTCTATTAATTTTTGACAAAATTCATTAAAAAATGTGTCCAAAGATTAATCGAACTGAATAATGTCGCTCCCGTAATTCTCTTGTAACGACGGAGAATCCGTCGTTAAAGTTCACAGAGTCGCGATATATCCCTCAACGCTACGTAAATTCAAGAATATAATGATAGGGTACATTGATAATGAACGAATGAGAAAGGCCACCGTTCTTCCAAGGTGTATATCTCAAGGTGTATATCCCTGCACTTATGTAAGTTTCAAGGACCTAGTAGACGACAGTGGTAAATGACGGATCAATGAAAGATGCTGCTCGCCCTTTTCGTTTACCGTCCCTTTTCTCCTCTCTCTCTCTCTCTCTCTCTCTCTCTCTCTCTCTCTCTCTCTCTCTTTCTCTCTCTTTCTCTCTGCATTCTTTTTCTCGACGCGGTCCCTTCGCCTGCTACCGTGCGAAGAAAGATTCGGGCCGAGGGCCCGAATGCGCAGAGGAATCATGAATGAATTCTCTGTGTGGCGTCTCGCGCCTCTCTTTATCGTCAGGATTCCTCAAATCTCTCTATGCATAAAAGTGTCCCTGCCAGCGGCCGCGCGAGCAAAGAGCGGAGGAAGACCTGCGATACGGTCGAGTACGCGTGTACGTAGCGCCGAAAGAGTACCGGCTTCGTTATAAACGCACAAACCGTTTCCTTTCTTTTTGTTCGCCGCGCACGATAACGTCCGCTTGATCTCCCCGTCTTCTACGGAGGAAAGAGGAAGAAAGGAAGAAAACGACGAAAAAGAAGAGAAAGGCGAACACGCGTGACGTAAGCTCCTACAGTGCTACTGCCGCGGGTTTGATCGCTTGGATCGACGTTTCGTGGACTCTGGAACCTTAGTCCGGAGACTACCGAATGCCGGAGAGATTCGAGACCGAGGCTTCTTCTTGTCTCACGTTCGATCTTGCAAATTCGAGTCAGGCTGCTTTCACGCGATTTCGGCGTAATGATATCAAGGGTATGTGCGTTATGTGCGATAAACTCGATTCACACGGATTAAAACGATGTTAAGGAGAGTCTAACGCAGTCTAGCTGCACTGCTTTGTACTCGATCCGATACTCGCTTAGAATTTTGGAAGATTAATGTAATCATTGCATTTGTATCGTAAATGTTTTTAAAGGCGTTAATTAAAGGATTCGGTGCGAAATGTAAAAAACAAAGGGACGCTTCTGGATAATCAGAAAGTCCAGGTTCGAATCCTGACTAAAATGATATTTACATAATAAAAATTCTGGATGGAGGGAAGAGATCGTCAATTGGATAAGGTATTTATATTATCTGGAAACATTTGGAAAACTTGGAACTCTCTGGAGAATTTGTTTTGTCTTGAAAATCAGGGAATTTTCAGGAAATTTTATTGAAAATTAGGGAATTTTTTGAAATTGCCTTTCTAATATTTTGTTTTTTTAATATTATCGGACTGAATTAACTTTATCGATTGAATTGTTGACGATAACAATTTAGTCCTATCCACTTTAAATATCAGAACACACTGTCCGAGTACACAGGAATTTTTTTTTCGGATATAACATCCATTTATCAAAGGGAAAAAGATTTCGTTTTCTTCTTGAATCTATGTTGCAGGTCTGTTAAAAATAACACGATGCAATTGGCGACATAAGCAATTATCTTGAACCTATATAAAAAAATAAAAAAATGAATTAAATATCTAGGATTCTGCCTGCCGAGCATTGCCCGTTATTATTACGTTTCTCTTTACGTTCATAATGTAATAAAGCTTTATAATAATTTTTTATTTATAATTACATTCTAAAGCGATTCTAGAATTAGACTTGTACTTTATTTTAAAAATAATTCCAATATTATTACGATCAAATCAGATCAAGATTTAATAAGTTGGAATATTTTAATCAGTTTGTTATAAGTATCGTTGGATGAATTTTGTTGAAATCTTCCAATAATAGTTTTCTTAATTTAATATAACGTAGAATTAACTCGTTAAATCGTATTGATTAAATTCTTCGAGTAAAGATTTAAATCGAGGAAAAAAAAACGGCTAAAGCTAACAAGAAAGTGTAGACAGTGCTTCAGGCAAGTCTGATTTTTTTTAGCGGAATGCTTCTCTTCCTACGGTCTCTGTCCAGCATTCAACGTCCGAGTGTGGTCCGTCACGTTAAATCAACCTCACGAGTCGCAGATGTTTATTTCTAACGCATTTTCCCAACTTCTAAAAGATAATGATGTACGTGTTGGGATGTGTTGGTGGGCTCGCGGTTATTTCCAGTAATAAGCCGTATGCAATCCTTCGCACGTTTTCTGAAATTCACGCGTGCTTCAACGTCCTAAGCCCTAGGCGTATTTCTCTCGCGCGCCCTTTACTTTGGAGTTCTCCGCACTTCGTCTTTGAATCCGCTTCGCATTCACTGGTAGGCGAATCGAAGGCGCAAATTGCCGACGCACAAAAGGAAGAGTGACCGAGAAATTCTGCTTTCGTTCCCGCTTGCAATCTTGTAAAGTGCCAGTTACGTCTCGCGAATCGAATGCTTTCGTCACGTAGACATAATATATTTATTACAGTGGCTCTAAGGCTGAAGATAGACGATAGTTTAATAAATTATAAGACTTTTTTCAAAAATTCAACAAAAAAGAGACTCTAATTAATATTACAAACTGAGAGAGTAAAATTTTCAACGAAAGGACTATCATTTTTTTCTCTTTATAATTGATTGTATTCATTTTCACGAAGTTGGAATTTTCGAATCGGCAATCGCTATTATGGTTAGCAATAATAAACGGGATGCATACGTGGATTTGTGTATGTAACAGCATTTCCGTTAGACAAGGGGACAAGAAGAAAAGAGAGAAAAATTTGCACGAGTCTCTCTAGCACGAATCTCGCTCATGCGAATCGTGTTGGCAAAGCCCGCAGGCAGAGCGCTACTCATTGTCATTCGCTACCGTGACTCTTTTTGTGTGCGCCCGTATCCGTTAAAACCGGCCTTCGGGGTACGTACGCGGTATATCCGGAACGTGCAAAAAGGTATCCCTACTCGGCTGACAACAAAGCTCGCACACGAAGAATAATCTATTCAGGAAACGCCGTGAAAGCTTCAATTTTTTTTTTTAGAATTAAATAGCGCGTTAAACTTCCCCTTATAAGTAGAAAAAAAAAATTTCAGTTTTCATTTGAGACATTCTTAATTAAAATTTTCGTTTATTTTAATTAATTTTTTATAATTTTGGAGAACTTTTATTTTTCCTAATTTATCTAACTAGATAAATTATATAAAAATACATTTTAATTATGTTAATAAATGTCAAAGACTTTTATCTCTTGTTCTTTCTCCCAAAGAATTAAATGTTTCAATATTTTATTTCAGAACTATTGCCCGCAAAAACAAAAATAAAATACAAACAAATACTGTTACAATTAAAAAGAACGCGTATAAATAACTTGATAAGACATAAGCGGGACAAACGAGTAAGTTAACTGATAATCCAATGAGCATTTAATGAAAGCCAAGCGTCGGCTTGTATCGAATCGATTTAAAACGACAACCGCAACAGTCTCTCTTTCCGCATTCGTCTTCTTAGATTACTGCAAATTAACCGTTTCGTCTCGTGTTCATAAACTTGTCTCGCATAAGCGAAGTTCGCAGGCCATTAATGATATAAAAATAATAAATTACGACGACCCCTTCTCGCTTCTCCTTGGTTCAATCGCACGCCTCGCCTGTAATTGCTGGCGCAATTGTTACCGTCACGCGATCTAAACTGCCTTCCTTCAAGCTCGTATTGTCGAATACCACCATTTCAGTTTATTGTCCTGAATATCCTGAATATTCGTCGATGCCGGTTGGTTGCTGTCGACCGAGAATAAAAATCGCTTACGAAGCGATATGTGTGTGTGTGTGTGTGTGTGTGTGTGTGTGTGTGTGTGTGTGTGTGTGTGTGTGTGTGTGTGTGTGTGTGTGTATCAAACCATGTATAACGTTGTGACCATAGTTCAACTCTACATAGCAAAACTTTATTAATTTTCTACGAGTAATTTCACATTATGATTCGCATGTAGTGTAGAAAGACGTTGACTTTTTCTCGAGCATCGGATGTGCATATTTACGGTTTGAAAAAAGAAAGAAAATGTACGACTTGATAAGATCGACTTTTTCGAACAAGAATAATCTTATGTCAATTGTTTTTTTTAACAAATAAATACTGATTCGTAGTCACATGAAGACAATTTATAATTACGTGAGATTGTACGGTGGATATATTTCGAGATACATACGATTCTCGAGAAACCGGATAACGTTCGTGTGTTTTGGGGTAGATTAAGATGCACTATCTTCGTGTTTAAGCTGATGAGAAATCCAAAAGTATTTCACCAATCTCTTACCTGACTTCTTTTAAAAGCTTTGCCGAGATTCCCGTCGCGGTGCATTGGAAATCCTCGATATATGCGTGTTGATTCTCGGGCAGAGAGCAGTTAATATTAGGTATGCAGAGCTTCATGAAGTGTGGCCGTAATCGACCGATGGAGTATTTTGCGATGTCCGTGGTTAGAACGGTGCAGGCCGCCCCGAAACCGAATACTCCGATCTGCGAAGAACATTATTTTTTATAATTACAGAGTTTAACCAAGAGATTTTAATGTAACTTTTAATTAATAAAAGTTGGAAAATGTGACAAGTTTTAATCAATAGAAAATGAGGAAGCTAACTTTTAAAATCGATAAAATGTACCTGTTTATAAGCATTCCACAACCACGGGGGTATAGTGTATCCGAAAAGCACATTTGCCGTGTGTCCAGAGAAATGTCTCGCATATAGATATTCTCCGAGGATCATCTAAAATCAAAATATTAAAAAAATCTGAATAAGTTAATATATGTTACGATTTATATGATTTTGGACGAATTAATAATCGTTTTGCGACACTAGAAAGCATTCTATTTATTCTATTTACCGAACAGTTTTTTATACATTAAATGTTATAATTTATGATAATAAGAATAAGGAAGTTTTATAATAATTGTCATCTCAAAATAATTCAAAAAGAAAATATTACTTCACTTTTGTGAAAGAATCACTGCTTCGATATCCGATATTTCCAAGACAGCTCGTACGACATATACACATGTGATACATCTTTCTTCGAGACCGTTTTGTAAAACCTCGAAAGTATTTTAAAACTTTTTAAACCGCAAAGAAACTTCAAAGTCTGGTTAAAAGAATGTTACGCTTTCTCGAGAAAGAAAAAAAAAGAGGAGGGACTTAAATTCTTTTGCTTTAGAATCTATCGATCTGTCGTGTTCTTGACCACAGCGGGTTAACTAGGCCAGATCCCGGATAAAGGTCCGCCGGGTGAAACAGGGTACGAAGTTCACGAGGCATGCGTGAATGAAATACGACGATGTGGCCGTCCCTCTTTTTACCTGTTTCTACCTGGATAACCCGGATCTTCTCGATCCCGGGGGAGCGTATCGTTATGGAGCGCAGGCAATCCGTTTTCTCTGCAAGTGAGAGCAGAGAGAGAGAGAGAGAGAGAGAGAGAGAGAGAGAGAGAGAGAGAGAGAGAGA